GGGTTTAAGAGTTTTTAAGAGTTTAAGAGTTTTAAGAGTTTAAGAGTTTTTAAGAGTTTTAGTCAAATGCTTTATAATATAGTATAGATATACAGATATTTTTAAAAGTGACGGTTGAAATGACCTCCAAAGTTTTAAATAAATTTATACTTTTTTCAAATCCGGTAATTGTTGAAATAAAATATTTCCTCTCCTCTCCTTTCCACCATTTTTTACTCTTAAACTTCTCTTTTCCTTCTTCATTGCAAACCAGATATTCATGGAGGATTGTTTCATGTTCACTCCGATTAAACAAACGGAGCACAAAAGTCGTATAACAAAGGAGGTTCCGGCAATGTTAGAGAAGTTTTCTGATCAAGAAGAGTTTCCATTCCCAAAAGTTATAAGAATATCAATGACCGATCCCTATGCAACTGATTCTTCAGAAGATGAAGATGACCACATTTTTGAACGGTGGCGTGTAAAGAAGTATGTTAATGAAATTAACATACAACCTTCAAGCAAAGCTAGAATGATGCCTGTAAATGCCAATATGACGACAACCAGAAACAGCCCATGTGCCGCAGATTTGAAGCAGAGAACTATCAAGAAGAAGAAAACTCCAGAGGATAATGTTAGGAAGTTCAGAGGAGTACAGAAAAGACGTTGGGGTATATGGGCAGCGGAGATTATGGATCTGGTTACACGCCAGCGGCTGTGGTTGGGAACATATGATACGTCGGAGGAAGCTGCCATGGTATATGATAATGCTGCCATCAAACTCCGTGGTGCTGGTGCTACTACAAATTTTGTTTTGCCAACGGCTATAGAAAAACCACCGCCGACGAATATTACATCAATGTCCAACCATCATCCCAAACAAAAGTCACTGAAGCTTCCACTTGCAGATGCACCACCTTCGGATTATCAATCTTTTGATTCAATACAACTTGATGATGAAGTTGCATCCTTTGACATGCATCATGAATTCAGGTCTATAAACCCCAAACAATTTGATGATTTTGGTATAACCCCTATAGCTCTTGGGTTCATTTCTGAGACTGGATGTGGATCTCCCTCAACTTTAAAAATARATAACTACTTCGAAGATATTTCAGACAATACTTTAGAATCATGGTTTTCCTAAAATGGTTTAAACTTATTTTAGTTAGTTGTTGGACCTGTTTAATTAAGTATGTATTATTTTCTTGATATCGTATTAATGCATATGTTTGATTAACATTTAGTCGTTTGCCTGATTAGTTCTATTTTATTTTTCAGACAGTTGTAAATGATGTTTTTTTACAAAATATATATAGATCACAAAAAGACTTGACCCATATACAGAGCTTAAGTCTAAAGGCAGTTATTCGCGTATTCACGTAAGTGTCATAAATGCTGAAGAGAAATCTGAATTGTAATTGTGGAATATGAGTGCAGATTCGTGATGAGCTGTATGTTCGATGTAACTTCTACCTTTGCCATACAACTCTGACTCTATCCATGGCATCATATATCCAGATTTTCGTGTACATGAGCCAAAAGTCTGGAGATAGTGATTTCAGATTTAGTGACACATATACATATCACAGAAGTTTCCACTATTCTGAACATCAATTACGGGGTGATAATTCTGAATTTTCATTTCAGAGAAGAAGTTAAGATGCGTTCTCAAATTCGTAAGGCATCCTATCATGTAAGGCTGGAATACAATTATGCACTTACACAAAGACATACTCGTCCAGACTTTTATGTCCAGACTTACGACCCTAAATACAATGGACCGAGATTTTGTTAGCTATAGAACAAATCAGAGTTGTTTTTAGATGTGTCAAACATCAATTAAGCGACGAAAAAAAGAGAATAAACGTGTAAAGGGAGAAATGCCACTTAAGTAGACCCATTTGAACCGTAAGTGAACCTGTGTGTGTGGAGTGAAGCTTTGCATACAACACTCAAACTTTTTTAGACCTTTTCATTAGCTCTGATTCCACAATCTGGTACATAACTTTGAAAAACGAACATGCAAACAAAAACTGACAAGCAGTTCCTTCATTTACGCTGTATTTAGACCATTAACTTACGGTTGCCACAACCCTCATCTGGGTAATGGTTTGCTTCTTATGAGATTATTGTTATCACAGACAATTTCCATTTCCTACTACAGTAAAAAGAGCATTCTTTAACACAATTGTCTAACTGAATCCATTTTCTCATGGTTGTTCATTCTAATGTTGTATCATGTACTGATTTCATGTACTGCTTTCTTGTTGAAAAATTAATTTGTTTGCAGATCTTTTAAAAAAGAAATTCGATGGATTCTAAAGAAAGGAGAAAATTTAGAAAGACGGTTTTGAATAGTAGTAGACAATCAGTGAGATCTACATCATCAAATGTCGAAGGTAACTGATTCAAAAGCATTTTGAATTATATTTTCATTGAGACAAATAGTACCTGCTCAGGAATTCTGTTGAAGTCACTTTTTAAAAATCATCCTTTATTGTAACTTTTTACAGATGATATCTCAAATTATGGTAGGCAATTACAATCTTCATCTGGGAGGACTAATATTCCCTACCCTGATGAGAATATGGATCAAAACAAATGTCTACAGTTTCAACATACAAACTTGCCACATTCTTCTTCAGATATGATTATCACAAATCCATTATCTGGTAGTCCTAATGGTATGTGTAATTTCTTGTACACCTCATTTTTAAAGCAATGCTTCAAACAAATTTTCAAAACTAACAAATGTCTTACATTACTTAAATTCGTATATTTTAAACAACAAGTGTTCATGTAAACAAACACTACTGGTTACGTTCTACCGCCAATTCATTCATCCCTTTATCGACAAAGATCAAGCTTCTTCTATGGTTCGGTTATCAGCAGGGCATCATATATTACAAAGAAGGAATATAAATGTAGCTGATATAGAAATCATTGATATTACATCAGATGAAGAACCAGACCATCCAGTAACGACTACAGACAAAATTGAAGGAATATATGAAGGTAATTATTGAATAATCAAATGTTTAATGCTTCAAATTAGTTATTACATTCAAATTTATTAAACAGAGTACTTGGATCACGGTGATGAAAGTGTTATTTGTGAATGCTGTGATGCAAAACTATGGAAAGATGAAGCTCTTCAAGGGAAAAAATGCGGGACGAAAACAAGTTACTCCCTTTGTTGTCTTTATGGCAAAGTTCAGCTTCCAAAAAAGAAAGAGATGTGCTCTTCTTACATAAATCTGTTTCGTTGTGTGGACTCAAAAAGCAAATACTTTATGAAGAACATTCGTCGTTATAATTCAATGTTCTCATTTACATCAATGGGTGGCAAAATTGATACTTCCATTAATAGTGGAAATGCACCATACATATACATGCTTAATGGTCAAAACTACCATAGGATGGGTAGTCTTCTACCAGCAGATGGAAGAAAACCGAAATTCTCTCAACTGTACATATATGATACCGAAAATGAAGTTTCACATAGACACAGTTCATTTAGGTATGCATTCATCCTTATTGTAATATCTCTTAATAGATTTACTTGAATTACAGTGTATGGTTATATTAATGGTCACTCTGATTTTATGTTTGTTATGATTTACTTAGTGAAAAACAAGAAGCTTCTGCATCAAATTCTGATTCCCTTGATATTGAGATTATTCAATACTTAAAGAACATACTAGATGCAAAAAATGTATTGGTGAAGTCTTACAGAATTGCAAGAGATTGTTTTGAATGCTACACGGATGTCAAGGTAAAGTTACGATTGATTGGAAAAAGAGAAAAGGATGGAAGAACATATAACCTTCCAACTGCTTCAGAAGTTGCAGCTTTAATTGTTGGAGATGATGGTGGTACAATTGAAAAAAGAGATATCATTGTACAACATCAGACAGGTTATTTACAATCAATAAGTGAATTACATCCTTCTTATCTTCCTCTTCAATATCCGTTGTTATTTCCATATGGAGAAGATGGTTACAGACTTGACATTCTTCATAGAGAGATAACATCTTCAAGCAAAAGTAAAAGAACAATTGTAACAATGAGGGAGTTCTTCGCCTTCAAACTTCAAGATAGAAGAAATATGTTTTCATTACTTCTCAATGTAAGGAGGCTTCTACAACAATTTATTGTTGATGGATACACAATGATTGAAACTGAGAGATTGCATTATATACTTAAGCAGCAAAAAGTCCCAAGGTGCGAGACATATGATACTCTATGCAATGTACAAGAAGGAGAGTGAGATCTTTCAAACATTGGACAACGTGTTATACTACCTTCTTCTTTCACCGGTGGTGCTCGGTACATGATGCAAAATTATTTGGATGCAATGTCCTTTTATAAATGGTATGGATATCCTGACTTGTTAGAAGTTAGAAGATTTGTTAAGGACACAGACCTAAATCCAGACGACAGGCCTGACATTCTTTGTCGTTTATTTAAGATCAAGCTTGATGCACTTATTAGAGAATTAAAAGAGAATGAGTTTTTTGGAAAAATTCAAGCAGGTATGTTCAATTTATGATAACAGTATGAACACATTTCTTTCTTTTTAGACTTATCTTTATTAATTTAAATTGTAACTTTTTTGTAGTTGTTTATACGATTGAATTTCAAAAGCGAGGCTTCCCTCATAATCATATCTGTCTGTTTATGCATCGAGATTTCAAGCTACCTACTGTTGAACAGATTTATCCTATCATCTCAGCTGAAATCCCAGACAAAAACAGTGATCCATAGTTGTACTTGCTTGTAAAAGAGTTCATGATGCACGGACCATGTGGTGAAGAAAACATTAATTGTCCATGCATGGTTGATAGAAAGTGTTCAAAAAAATACGCAAACAAATTTTCTGAACACACTTCAATTGATGTTAATGGTTATCTTATATACCGCAGACAAGTGGATGGACGTTTTATTGAGAAATCAGGTGGTAAACTAGACAACAGAAATGTCGTTCCATATAATAAATATCTATTGAAAAGATATCAAGCCCACATTAATGTTGAGTGGTGCAATGAGGTATCTTCAATCAAGTATCTATTCAAATACATCAACAAGGGTCCAGATAGAGCTACTGTTGCAATTGTAGAAAACTGTGATGATGCGGTCACTGTCAATGTTGTTCATGAGATAAAACAGTATTATGATTGTAGATATCTTTCTGCATGTGAAGCTTCATGGCGTATTTTTGGATATGATGTTCATTATAGGACTCCTTCTGTTTTAAGACTTCCTTTTCATCTTTCGGGACAACAACAAGTAGTGTTTGGTGGTGAAGATAATATTGATAATGTAATAAACAGACCATCTGTGGCGTCCTCAATGTTCTTATCTTGGATGCATTGTAATCAAATTTATCTAGAGGCACGAGAACTCACTTACATTGAATTTCCTACAAAGTTTATGTGGAAATTAGACGAACGATGTTGGGATCCAAGGAAAAAAGGGTTCTCAGTCGGACGGATTCATTCAGTTTATCCTACTGTAGGAGAAGGGTATTACTTACGAATTCTGTTGAATAAAGTCAAAAGTCCTAAATCATTTGAAGACATTCGTACGGTTAATGGAAAAACATTTCCGACTTTCAGAGATGCATGTTATGAGCTTGGCTTTTAGACGATGACAAGGAATACATTGAAGCCATTGAAGAGGCAAATTTAACTGCATCTGGTTTTTATCTCCGCTTCTTATTTGCAACCATGCTGATTTCAAACAGTTTATCTAGACCTGATATTGTTTGGGAAAAAACATGGCAATACTTAGCAGATGGAATTCTGTACAATCAACGAATTGCTTTACAGTCGGCAGGTATGTTAATTCTATATCTTAAGCATAGAGTTACACAACTATTATAAAAAACTATGATTGTTATTGAATTGTATCTACTTTTAATTTCATGTAGTAACTGTGTACATTTATATTATCTTTAGCAGATTTATCTCTTAATGAAGAGCAAGTGAAGAATCTAACTTTGTTCGAAATTGAAAAGATTCTGCTTCGTAACAATTCCATGTTGAAAAACTTCACCACACTTCCTTTTCCTGAAAATGACTCGTTTGAATCCTCAAACAACCGTTTAATTGCAGAAGAACTGGATATAATCATCATAATTTAGGAGATGAGTTTCACACCCTTGTAACTGCTCTTACATATGAGCAAAGAGGTGTGTATGATCAAATCATGACTGCGGTCGCAAAGAAAAAAGGCGGTGTATTTTTTGTTTATGGACATGGAGGAACATGCAAAACATACCTATGGAAGACCTTGGCTGCATCAATAAGATCTAAAGGAGAGACTGTTTTAAATGTTGCTTCCAGTGGTATTGCATCTTTGCTTCTTACCGGTGGCAGAACAGCACACTCTCGTTTTCACATCCCGCTCATTCTGAATGAAGATTCTCTTTGCCAAATGAAGCCAGATAGTGATGTTACAGGCTTTAAAGAAAACTACTTTGATAATATGGGATGAGGCACCAATGGTTCATAAACATGCATTTGAAGGATTAGATAGAAGTATGAATGATATTTTCAATGCTCAACGTAGTGGTGACTCGGATATGATTTTTGGGGGTAAGGTAATTGTTTTTGGAGGCGATTTTAGACAGATTCTGCCAAGTATTCCCAATGCAGGTAGACAAGACATTGTAAATGCATCATTAAGTTCATCTTACATTTGGGAAAAATGCGAAGTCCTAAAGTTGACTAGAAACATGAGGCTAACTACAAACAGTGAAAGTTCATAAATTGAACAAACAAGGGATTTTGCAAAATGAATTTTGGACTTAGGAGAAGGAAAAGTTGGAGGTGATAATGATGGTGAAGCAGTTATTGAGATACCTCGTGATCTTCTCATTACCGATTGCATTGATCCTATATCTGCATTAATCGAGTTTGTCTATCCCTCAATTCTTGAAAACATCAAAAACTCAGCTTATTTTCAAGAACGAGCAATACTTGCCCAAAAAAATGAAGTAGTTCAAGAAATAAATGAATGCTTGCTGTCATTGTTTCCAGGAGAAGAAAAGGAGTACTTAAGTTTAGATACATTGTGAATCGGAGAAACATCATGATGAGTTCGATAAAACTTTGTACTCTCTTGATGTTTTAAATGGTCTTAAATTATCAGGAATACCAAATCATAAGACTCTACTAAAAGTTGGTGTCCCTATCATGTTACTGAGGAATATTGATCAGAAATCTGGATTATGTAATGGTACTAGACTGCGTGTGTTGACATTGGAAAATCGAGTAATAGAAGCACAGGTCATATCTGGAAGCAATATTGGAAGTCGTACATTCATTCCAAGAATGTCCTTAACACCTACGGACAAAAGGATACCATTCAAATTTCAAAGGAGAGTTTCCAATTGATATGTGTTTTGCCATGACCATTAATAAGAGCCAAGGACAATCATTATCAAAAGTTGGTTTATTTCTAAGACAACCGGTCTTCACGCATGGTCAGTTATATGTTGCTTTATCCAGAGTCAAAAGCAAGAAAGGTTTGAAAGTACTAATTATGAATGACGAGGGCATTATTGACAGTAAACCAACCAATGTTGTATACAAAGAAGTGTTTAGTAATATATGATACATTGTTCTTATTTTATTAATGATTTACATATTTAAGTTATATTTGTTCAATTTATATTGTATTATAAATGTTGTTTTACAAGTTGATCTTATCAGTTCATATTATTATTAAATCCTAAGAGGCTTATTTTTCATTTATAGTCTGCATTACAATTATGCGATCATAAAGAATCTGCATGTGCTACGTAAATTATCTCACTCGGACTTTGTCCTTCATACAGAGCTTTACAAAGGGACTGCATATACTACGCACACTCTCTGGCCAAACTTCAGCAATTCATACAGAGTTTTGGAGAGGGAGTGCAGAAACCACACCGGACCTCTATGCATTATTCTGTGGTTCATGCAGAGCTACACAGCAGCTCTGCATCTACTATGCAGAAGTTATGTGCACGAAATTTTTTTACAAGCTTGTGGCATTGGCTAATTTTACCAATTAACTCTTGAAAATAACTTCACACTTATAACCAGATTGGTCGTCTTGATTTAGAAATCTTGCAACGCAGGATACTTTCCATCGTAGACTCTGGAGTATTTCTTAGACCTTGTGTTTGTCAAGCCTCATTCCATCATTCATACAGAGCTTAACAAAGCATGTGCATTTGCTTTGTGGTTAATGTGAACCAGACAACGTGTTCCATACAGAGCTGGACAGAGGTTCTGTACGTAAGTCTTGAAAAAAACCTTTGTCTCTTCATGTAATGCGTCGATGATCTATTTCTTGCTCTGACCACGACCTTCAGACTTGTACTTGTAAATAGTTTCTGTTTTCATCTTTGCAAACTTTTTTTTCGCTTCTGTCCTTCAACCATGCCTCCGTCTTTCATGCAAAGTATCATAGACGTTATGTACTTCTCTTGAGTAACAGTTCTCTCTCACCATGTACTACCCAGAACCTAAGATTCCCTATGCCTGTCTTATACATAGGTATACAAAGAATCTGCTTGTACTACGCAGCAGTGCATACTGAATCTACATTGTTCATCTCCATTTAGAAGTTTTTCTGATCATCGAAGCAGAAGCCGTTCTTTTTATATGTAACATTTAATATTCGAGTAAGAGCATTTTTATATCAAAAAATTAATCGCAATTGTACCTTTCTTTAAATTTATAAATTACCTCCAATTATTAATTGTTTATAAAAAACATATTAGTTCAGCTTAATTTTTATCAGTAACCCGTGTAATACACGGGTCGAACCTAGTAATATATAATAAACAGGTAAATATGAAACGTGATTTATGGCGGAGATGATATCACCTAAAATCCAAAAGCATAAGCAAGGAGTTTGATGCACAGATGGAGCAGGAGAACGCGATTTGCGGGCAAAGATGTAGGAGTGGTAGAGAGAACTTAATGTTGGAGAGCAAGATGTAAGGAAACACTGTATTTTTAAACTGGTATTGCACCTTGGGAAATCAACAACCATCTCGATAGAGAGAGATGCTTGTTCAATTGGAAACATAAAGTGTACTAGGAGCAGGAATATGATATTCGGAGCCTAATAGGTGCAAAGAATGAAAGTTTGAACTTGTACTTTGTGCTTTTAAACTTGCAATTCAAAGATTTTAAGACTTTGTGCTTAAATTGGTAGTATTGTATGTTTTAGAAGTTGTCTTTTAAGACTTTGACAAATATGCTTTATGAGGTATGTTGGTCCCGAATGAGATGACAATAAACAGAAAGTAATTGTAGAATGGGGGGTGAATACAATTACACAAAAAAAAAATTTAACTTTTTAATTCTTATTGATGCATATCAAGAATTAACACACACATATACAATAAAGATTGTTGCAGAAGAAAGGAAATAATAATCTAACCTAAACAATCTTACAAAGAGAATAACTTACAAGAACAACACAGAGAGTACTTGCAAGAAAATGAAGAACACTAAGTTTTTTCTTCACACACAAGAGAGTAAGGGAGTAGCAGAGGATAGTCGATTGCCTTGAGAAGGCACTAAGAAATCTTTCATAAAGTTAGTAGTATGCATGAGAGATGCACACTGTCTTTTATACTACCTTCAGCATTAAATATATGAGAACACTTGTCACCTGAGGATAAGAAGGCAAGGGATGACTTGACCATTGTTGAAATCTCATTTTCATCATACACAACATGCATACAATAGTGTTCATACAAAGACAAACTTTTGCATAAATATGGTCAGTCTGTAGGAAGATCTTCTTTGGATGGATCAGTAGCTTCAAACAGCTACTCACAAATATTTGGTGTATGAAGATCTTCATTCAATATTCGATCCATTAAGATCTTCAATCTTCGGTCCATGAAGATTTTCCTTCAATCAACTTATAGCTTCAAAATATTTTCAATCTTCATTTTAGCTACTCTAGAGTCTTGGTGTGTATATTAGACAATTGATCCACAATACCGCATCGATGATCTTCTGTCTTCACATCGGCTAGTCTTCGATTTTGCCAATGGCATAAGTACGTACCAAGACACCAATATACAAAGAAACCAATAACTACTAAATGTTGTTAGGGTAGAGAAACATATCAATAGGTCATCACCAAATCAATTGATGATCCAACAAGATACTATAGATGATTGAAATGCTTTAAATATAAGTGAGATATTCTAATTTTGAACTTATATTAAGAAGGAAATATGTTAAATGGCGTCATTTTATGGAAATGTAAGAGATTCCTTTGTAAAAAAATTTCAAAACAGAGAATTAAAACTTAAAATTAAAAAAATATTAACTTTATAAGTAAACTATGATTTTCGTCCCTATGGGTTGAGAAAGATTGCAATTTTTGACCCTGTGGTTTGAAAATTGTGATTTTTGTTCCTATTATTTGTAATTTATTATTGTTTTCGTCCCTAATAGTAAATATGTTAAAAAAACATTTATTAACTTAGGGTATTTAGTCTTTTTGATTTTTTCTTTTTGGTTTACTAAATATAATTTTTTGATTTTTTTTGGGTATTTTAGTCTTTTTGATTTAATAAAACTATACATTTTTAATAAAGAAAATAATACATTTTTTTTATTATTTTGTTATTGTTTATGATAAAATAAATTATTTTTACATGCATGAAATATTGTTTATTGATGCATATTACTTAAAATTCCAGATTACAAGTAAATTGTACGTAAGTGCAATTTATTAAAGCTCCATGTTTGAATTCGTGTAACTAACTGTGGATAAACATGATCAAATAGATGATAAACATCTCATTTTAAAATATAAAAAATCTAATAAATATAATTAGAATAATTATCAAATTCTAACAAAATAATTAATTATTATCTTTATAAAAAATTATATTATTAAACAAAATATAAACTACTTCGTTATTGTACCTAAATTAAATTATAATAAAAAATCAAATTAAAAAANTTTATAAGAAAATTATATTATTAAACCAAATATAAACTACTTCGTTATTGAATCTAAATTAAATTATAATAAAAAAATTAAATAAAAAACGAGAAATTTTAAATAATTAATTTGATACTAATATTGATATATTTTTGCCAAATTTTTATGATATCTTCAAATTTATATTTTATTCAAAAATAAAAAATATTATCGTTTTTTAAAATCACATAAGACCATATTATAACATCGACTGAGACAAAAAAATAAAACAAAATATTAAAATCAAGATTATTTCGATGGATTGCACGTGTACCCTTCTACTCATAAACAATAACAAAACGATATAATTTTTTATGTATTATCTTTTTTTATCAAAAATGAAACTGATAAATATATTTAATAGACCAAAAAGGAAAAAAAATTAAAAAGACTAAAATACCCCTAAGTTAAATGAATGATTTTTAATAGATTTAGTTTTAGAAATGAAAACAACAATAAATTACAAAACATTGGGACAAAAACAACAATAATTTATAAACCATAAGAACGAAAATAGGAATTTCAAAACCACAAGGATGAAAATCACAAAATTTTCACAAACCATAGAAACGAAAACCGTAGTTTACTCTAATTTTATTTATAATAGTTTTTTCATTTATTTTAAAGATTTAAATATACTAGAAGAGTACTCGCGCAATGCAGCGAGATACATAATGTTTTATTTTATTATTTGTTTCTGTCGATGTTATAATACGATTTTATGTGTTTTTAATAAAACAATAATGATTTTATTTTTTAATAAAATACAAATTTGAAAATATCATAAAAATTTGAAAAAAAAAATATACCAATGTCAATATCAAATCAATTATTTAAAAGCTCTTATTTTTTATGTAATTTCTTTATTTTATTTTTTATTATAATTTAATTTAAGTTTGATAACGAAATAATTTATTTTTGCTTTAATAATATAATATTTTATAAAGATAATAATTAAGTATTATGTTAAAACTCAATGATTATCCTAATTATATATTTTTTTATATTTAAAATGTGATATTTATCTCATATTTGATTATTTTTATCTGCAGTTAGTTACACGAATTCAGATATGGAGCTTTAATAAGTTGTACTTACGCACAATCTATTTGCAATCTTGAGTTTAAGTAATATGCATTAATAAACAGTACTTTACGCATAAAAAATGTTAATAAGAATTTTTATTAAATGTTTTATAATATAGTATAGATATAATCATGTTTCAATTATGCCCCTGCCCTTTTTGCTCATACATGTCCCTTTGAAATCTATTTCTATACTTGTCAATTTTGATCCTCATCCATTTACAGCTCGACCTCATTTCTATCCCAACCATGAGGTTTAGGGTGTTACATGAAAAATGACGTACACCAGATTAGTGATGGCCAAACCGGCCCAGTCCGGCCTGGGACCGTCAAAAAACCGAAACCGGGACCGACCAAGGACCGGGAATACTTGCAAGATATCAAAAATTATTAGTACCCAATTAAAAATTTTCCTTAAAACATAGGATTTAAAATCAAAACTCAATAATTTTGTGGAGAACACTTGGAAGATATAAAAGTTCAGGGACTGTATTTGACACATACTAAGACTTTAAGGGCACAACATGCGACATTCTTTAATATCAAGAAACCCTAAAGGCGTTGATCGAAACAGAAAACAATCGTAGCCGTCGATCTATATACCGTGTTTTAGGGTTTTTGGTATTTGAAGGCCCTCATATTCATTATTAGCTCTCGGCTGCCTCTGTAATCCGTTTGTGCTCCCGCAACACCTTCTCTTCGGAGGCCTATTGACGATCAGTCATGGTAATGATCTCCAATCCCTTTTCTTGTATCATTTTCAATTCAGTTTATTGATTGAATGACACACGTACTGAAGAGAACGAGGTTGTGCTGCTTAGGGGAATTGCATGTTAAGAAAACGAATTGTTTTATGGTTCGATTAATTTGATTTGCACTTACGGTGTTCGCTAAGTGTAAGTGGTTAAGTCAAGTATGTGTATTTTCAATCTTCAATGAAATGTGGATTTTGGGTTATTTGACTAGCACGGTCGAAGCTTAAATTGACAATGGCAGTGACAGTAAGGTTAGATTTTGGGTTATTTTGCTGTGATTTAGTTGAACTTTGGTGCTCCACTTGCTATCTGCGAGTTTCAGATCGATATTAACCGTTGATTATTTTGACACTAATTCATGCGAGCTTACTTTCTGGTGGCTCTCGTTTGAATCTGCCTTTCTATAAAGCATGTATTTCTACGTGAATCATGCTCCTTCAGTGCTATAAGAATTGCATTCTTTTTGTTTTTGGAAATCCCACTCGAATAACTACATCTTTTATGTAATTTGTGTAAATATAATTAAATGTGGATCACTGTATGCCTTTATGGCAACCATTGGTGAAGGTTGTGGAGACTCAAATTAATTCACAGGATGTTTGTTAATTGGAATTTTTAACCAAATGCAAGTTTTTTAGTCATATTAATAGTGTTGCCTACCTCTTTTAGTATTTGTGTAGATTCTGTGATACCTGTGGTTAACATTGGATTTCTGTTGATCCATATTGATTCGAGTTCAAGCCCCACCTGGGGGGGGGGGGGGTTGTTGTTGGAGAATTGGAAAATATACCAGAATCAGCAAGTTTAAAGTTGAAATTACAGCTCTTTGTGGACATTTATTTGTTTTTCCTGAACATGGACTACATATGTTTTGCTACATGGTTATTTTGCTTGATGCAATAATTTGTTTTTGACTTCAATGATGCCAAATTGTTTATTTAAGTTGGAGGTTTGTACCTTGTTTCATGTTCTAACTTCATGGAATGTGATTTTATTGTGCATGTATCTGTCATTCTATTGCCATTCCTTAAAATTGTGATGTCCCACTAGTTGCTGTTGCGCCTTTTGATCCTATATTACATACAGATACAACCTGCTAGAAATTTGTTTAATGGTGATGATTTATACATCCCACGTTAGGATATTAATTTGTAAGTTTGTTGTTGATTGTTTTGAAGGTTTTTGTCAAAGCCCAGAAGTCAAGATCCTACTTCAAAAGGTTTCAAGTAAAGTTCAAGAGAAGGCGACGTATGGATATCTTTGTTAATTTGTTACATGCCATGTTTGGTAACTAATTCTTTAACCTCTCGAGTTACATGGGTAACCCATTTTGTTTTCTCTTGTTTGTTAATGCAGAGGGAAAGACTGATTATCGTGCAAGAATTCGTCTGATTAACCAAGACAAAAATAAGTACAACACTCCAAAATATCGTTATGTTGTGCGATTTGTATCCTTTTTATTGACTTCCACTTTATTATTGTTGTGTTTACTTGTTTGGATTTTGTACATGCCCAAATCTCCTGGGATTTGGGTCATTAGATGTCTTGTATACACTAATTTTTAGCAATATGCATCAAGAGATGAGTGCGGCTATTAGTTCGGATGAAAATCTTTGCAATACTTTGTTGTGGTGCTACCTATAGCTATTGCTTATAATTTGCATCAAAAAGTTTCCCTTAATGATGCTGTTAGACTAACAAGGATATCATTGCACAAATTGTATCTGCAAGCATTGCTGGGGATATGATTCTTGCATCAGCATATGCTCATGAGCTGCCTCACTACGGTCTTAAAGTTGGGCTCACAAATTATGCTGCAGGTATTTTTGGCTCTTTTTTTGTTCAGTCATCTCATTTCTGCTGTTGTAAAAAATTGGCTCTCAGCTATTTTCAAATGTAGCCTACTGTACTGGACTTTTATTGGCTCGCCGTGTTTTGAAGAAGCTTGAGATGGACGAGGAGTATGAGGGAAATCTTGAGGTTTGTAATTCGTTTCTGATTTACTTGGATGTTGTAAGTATGCGGATTTATTTTATTTGAGATATCTTATTTGCAGGCTACTGGGGAAGATTACTCTGTTGAGCCTGCAGACAGCAGGAGGCCTTTTAGGGCTCTTCTGGATGTTGGTCTTATCAGAACCACCACTGGAAATCGTGTTTTTGGTGCTCTCAAGGTACATGGTTGTTTTTATACTAGCATTCAATTTCCAATAGGGTGATTTCATCTTCTTTTGCACAAATGTTGATAATCTGGGATGGAGTTTGAGTAGCTTTTAAACATAAAATACGCATGATGCACTGACTTGTACATTTTCTTAATGTGGACCTTTTGGTTCAGGGAGCTTTGGATGGTGGACTTGACATCCCGCACAGTGAAAAGAGGTTTGCTGGATTCAGCAAGGATGGTAAGCAACTTGATGCTGATGTACACCGCAAGTACATTTATGGTGGCCATGTTGCTTCCTACATGAGGGTGAGTCTGTTGTTTAACAAGAGATGTAGTGAGCATCTTTGAAAATAGAACATATCGTTTAAAAATAGTTGGTTTATATGCAGACTTTGATGGAAGATGAACCAGAAAAGTATCAGTCTCACTTCTCTGAATACATTAAAGCTGGAGTTGACCCAGAAAACATTGAAGAGCTGTACAAGAAGGTACATTCAGCCATTCGTGCTGATCCAACTCCAAAGAAGTTGGAGAAGCAGCCTCCAAAGGAGCACAAGAGGTAACCTCATTTTATTCGTCCTTTTGATGGTAAAAAGATAATTTTGCAGAAGATTATGTTTATAAAAACAGAGAGATGATTATGTGTGTTGATGTTGTTTCTGTGGGTTTAGGTTCAACCTGAAGAAGCTAACGTATGATGAGAGGAAGCAGAAGCTTATTGAGAGGTTGAATGCTCTGAATGCGGCAGCTGGTGGCGGAGATGATGACAGCGAGGAAGATGATGAATGAAAACATGTTTGATTTTGAATTATTGGAAAAGAAAGTTGAAAACACTTCAGTTTTGCATGCTTTGATGAATTTTTTAGAATGAGGGTGGAGATATTTGGAGACATAGTGAATTATCATCAATATAATGTTGGGATTGCCTTATAATTTTCTTTTTTGGGGATGATGCTGTCTTTTTTTGGTTTCAAGAAATTATCATCATCTGCTAAGTTTACAGTTTAGATTTTATATTACGATATTTTCACAACTTCATTAGTTGTAGAAGTCAAAAGTAGAAAATTGAATCTTGTTCGTTTTCTACCATCAACTTCTTTTGAACTTTCTTATATAAAAGATCATGTTTGATGCATCTTTTATTTGTGGTTGTAATGTGACATCTAAATCAACATATATTTCAAGTAAAAAATCTTTTACTATTTTTTCACCTAAAATAGGCATGATGGTATACTCAAATTCTGGTATGAAACTCATGTCATTGCTCTATACCCTCTGGATTTTAGTTACGTGGTACCGCGTTTGCTCCAACCATATGTGTTTGATTAGTTGCTCTATACCCTCTGGATTTTAGTTATGTGGTACGGCGTTTGCTCCAACCATATGTGTTTGATTAGTGCTCGTCATCCGGATATTGGGGCTTGTCTCAATACCCCAAACAATTTTGCTTTCGGGTGGAAGTCTAATGTTAATTAAGTGTACCTTTTGTCCGTTAATTTTTGTTAGAGGTGTTGTCCTCTTTCCGAAAAAGAAAGCCGTGATACATATCATTTTTGGTGTAATTTACATACAAATATAATATAAAATAAAATACGTCATAGTAAATAAAACGTCTTTAAACCCAAAGGCATGATGGTCCTTTTACCCAAGAAAAATCCCCAGAGAGAAAAAAGATAAACACAAACTTTGAAGGCGAGATCTGGTTTGGTTGCAACAGGGATAAGGAAGAAGGGGGATGCAACGGAGGACTGAAATGCCGATTTCTTCCAAGAACCATCCATAATCCTCCATCTCCATTACACACCTCATTTTAGATTTTTCTCAATATTCTCTCTTTTAAAATATTGAGTTTGTTTTTGTTGGGGATAAATGACCCTACTAAAAATACAAACTCAATTCAGTTTACTAACTTTTCAAGTTTCAAACCTTGTTACTTATAGGCCGTTTACCAAATACTTACTCAGTAAGTGCTTATCAATAAAATTTAACACTATTATTTACAACTGGTAAGATTTTATTCCACCAAAACGACATCACATGCAACAATTTACCCGGTAAGTGCTTACCGTGGTAAAAGTCGTCGCCCTCACCTACCGGGTAAGACCGTTGGTCCTTGTCTCGCTCTTTCCGGGTAAGATTCTTGGTCCTTATCATATTCATCCGGTAAGATAACATGACTTAGTAAACGCTTATCCGAGTCAGCATTTAGTAAACGGCCCCTTACCTTGAATTTGGGTCCAATCATTTTATTTATTTGTTTATTAAATAAAAAATAAAAAACAGAAAAGGTAGGGTAGGAGTAGGACACATGATAAAGAATGTATCTTTTATTCCATATGGAGGATGAATGATTTGAACCAAATCAGAACTTAAAAGATTGGCATGGGACAAGGTTACTAACAAAACCACTCTATAATTAATTATTTGCAGCTCCTTTAATCCATCTTCACCCCATTTCTGCAAACAACAACAAATCTACTTCAATATTTATTATATAGCCAAAGTGTAAGTATTTGAAAAGTAAAGAAGTTATCCTAACTATTCATATGGTCAAGATCAAATTTGACTGGTCAATAATTACAACTTTGATTGGTCAAAAATTACGGTTATGCAAAAAATAAAGAGTGTAGTTTCATAACTTTTACAAATATATGTTCATATGTGAACTTGTGTAATTCAAATTTGAAGTATATTAACTGATTCACTATGAACTAATTAACTGATTCACATATAAACCTTTGTGATTCACATATAAACTAATTAATTGATTTACATATGAACCCGTTTGCCACCTATTCGTAAAAGTTACGAAACTACCCCTCTATCTTCTGCATACCCATAGGAAGAATTATCCGGTGTTTCAAGGTCAAAGCCGCAAATGTTGACCAGATGAAGGGCTAGGATCACTTCTTTACTTCTCAAATATTTACCATTTCTCAAATGGACCTTTCCTTATATGTGTGTACATATATAACACAACCGATAAAAGAGATGGTCAAGTTTCTAAGAAATCGGCTCCAGCAGTCTTTCTTATATTCTTTTATCAACTTGTCTTTCTTTGTGTATGTGCATATTACTACAACATAATTCATAAATCATATAATAAAATCCTAAAAGATGTAGCCAAATTGTTCAAAGATATATACCATGTTCAAAATTTCTTTCCAGTGACTGTGACTGTGTATGATGATTATCAATGGTAATAGTTAACCCAACCAAGTGTACCGAGTGGTCGAACATCACTTGATACTTGTGACTTGCAAGAAACTTTTGAACATTCAACAATCCAAAAGACTAAAGATAAACCAAACTAAACATACCCAGTAAATCCCACATAGAGGTAGGGTCTAGGATGTATGTGAAACTACATAAATACAACTCAATGGCAAATTATATCAAGACTCAAGGTATCAATAGCAAATTGCATATATCTACTCAAACTCGATGGTAAATGCTCGATAAATAAATTCTAGGAAACCACAATCAACACGGTGGTACATAAACACATTTGCATAGTGATATCTTTAATCACAGATTTACTACTTTTGTCAAGAAAAAAGTTATACCTGTCAAAAACTAGACAATGATCCTCTATGTAATATTCCAGCTCTTCAGTTTTCACTTTTTCTTCAAGGTGTCTGATTCAAGAGAGTTAAGAAATTTAATCTATTATTCAACATCAGGATGCACATATGAACCTTTGACATAGGCTACATGGTGTTGGATGTTCAACTGTTTCATACCCATCTATTAACACAGGTGGAGTTAAAATATAAGCAAGAAACAAACGAAAGCCAAGTGCAAAGGATACTGCATAAGATCACCATTTGGACCAAGTCCAAGCTCTTCCATAACAGGATGGTTAATTTTTTTTGAAGCAGAATCTGATTTCACAGTATGAATTGTCTGTCGAGCAGCTTCAAAGTGTTGGTATAAGCTAGTGCGATAAGTAGTCTGACAGTAAGAAAACAAGTTTAGTAGTTCAACTTTAACGCTATAAGATGATAAGGTGACTAACTAAACAAAAATCACCTTTCCACTTACTAAATGTGTGCAACCCATAATCTCTTTCACTGTATCTTGATCTTTCTATATCCTCCCAACCCCCTCTTCAAATGCTTTACCGATTGAAAATAGAGTTTCCAATAAAAGTAGAGAGCTGAAACAACCCAATAATTGCAACAAGAGCGTATGATGCAATCCAAACAACAAAGGCATACAACGAGTTCAGGGCACCAGGGTAAGCCATAAAAACCGAATTGAGAGATGAAGCATAACAATACAACCTGAAGAAGAAAGTCAAAAAAGAAAGAGGTCAGTTGCTGCTGAGATGCCATGTGGTATAAAACATAAAAGTGGAAAAGAAAAACTCTAAGAAGAATATGACAAGAATGCTACAAGATTCATTGATCCTGAAGTGTTTTTGTTGTATTGTGAATAATAGGCATGAGAAAAGAAAAACAAACATCACACCTGTTTACAGATGTAACAAGTGGATTATGTTGCCTTGTTGGGAACTTTTCTGAGTGAAGTTACCAGTGATTCCAACCAATTTATATCAATGTGAATGTGGAGATAAATGAGAGAGTTTATGTTCGTTTGGACCTCTATTCTTTTCGTCACTCCACACATCAAATTAGACATTGCAAATTCTTTCAAGACGAAGAGGGTATTAGGTACTGCAGTTGCAGCAGTCAAGTTAAATTAAACTTTTGTTATACATGAGGTTTACCTCAAACATCCCAAAATAATTTCTAGGTTGAATAAGTTTCTAGAACACGGGTCTTTTGGATTCTATTTGCACGACTCAAAGCGAAATACTGCTAATGACTGTTTAAGGATTTCTTAAATAGGCTTCTGTTTGTTTAACTTTAATCCTCAATAGTCAATACATACACCCATTCACCAAGTACTGGATCTGCACCAAACGATGATTTGTGCTGTATGCAATTCAGGTCCATCTTGCACATCTTCCTTCCATGCATTTAGAACTATCATCTTACTTCAAAATATAGCCTACATGTTGTCTATGGTGGAGCTTCATTTTACGAAAACACGAGAACACTCTTATCCCGTGTCATAGTACATGTGAGGGATTGTGTTCGAATGTGTTCTCAATTGAACACTTCCTATTTCTATATGCCTTATTATTATTTGATCACTGATAAGATTAATGTAATCCTGTTTCATTCAAGAAACACCTCGGTAGGAAAATAACTAACAGCAATTACATCAAAACACTTATCAATTAGAAATTAATTAGAAAGAACATCATCCCCTCTATCTAAACTCCTTTTATGTTCTTAAGAAACGATTACGTTTCTCCAGTTTCAATCGCATTGGCGCAATCTCTTGTAAAGCTTAAACCAATCATTTCCTAATGCAAGAAACATGTAATCTTCAGAATCCAATGCAATTACATCAAACCCTAACAAAACCCTTATCACGAAAATCAAAATAAGATCATGGAAACAACAAAAAGAAGAACGATACAATCATAAACCATTCAGAGAGGAAGAAAAGGCGCACCTTAGAATCAACGATGGTGATTGATAAAGAAAGAAGGTGGGAAAACAGAGAATAGAGTTTTATTGTCCGATTGCAAGAGAGATTTCGTCCCTATCAAGGAAGAGATTCCCTGTGAGGTTGTCCCACCCACCTTCAGAAGCCTCTTCCCTGTGAACTATCTTTTTCCCTTTGTCTACTTAATAGATGTGTATGTGGGGGGCCTCAACCAACAAGAATAACTAAATTACACCAACAGTCCCTAAACTTACTCAATTTGCATCTTTATTCACTTCACATTAAGAAGCTGTTTGATAGTTGCTGAATGGTTTGGTGTTGAATGGTTAAGAAGCTCTCATGATATATTGCAAAATGACATACAATTGTTTGGTAATTGTTTACAATAAAATTAGAACGCTGAATGGTTAATGGAGATCTAGGATGTAAAATCATTCAAAGGATTTTAGAACGATTAAGAGGCAGACTTTTTTGTGCCAAACAAAATTCATCTATTAACGATTCAGAATTTTCCTCTTACTGAAACTATTAAGAACTAAACAAAAAACCCTAACAAACCACCATGTACAAATAAATCATTCTTATGCTATAGATAGAAAAAACAAGAGTGAATTACATTTCTAGTCCCTGTGGTTAATATTTTTATTGCTTTTCGTCCTTACTTTGTATTAATTACGGTTTTAGTCATACGGTATGCATTTTCGAAAAGTTTGCTAAGTGAGGTAAAAAGACCATGATGTTCCTTCCTCTTTGGTGACCTGTAAAACGGAAAAAACAACGATACTTATCCTTTTTATTTAATCTTTTTCAACGCACTTATTTTGTTTTTATTCAAGAGTTAATAAATAAATCATTTATGTAACTCACACAAAAACCAGCAACGACAAACACAATGTCGAGAAGATTAATCAATCAGAACTGGAAAAGAAAAAGAGAACATTCATGACACAAACAACCCAGATCATTCATGAACGTCAAATACAGTAATACACAAACGACAACTTTGTGCCAATTATTTCAGAACATCTGTAATACAAAAATATCAAAACCCTAAATCTAAATCAAACAACCGAAACCCTAGTTCGAATATCTAACAATCCTCGTCCTTAGTGATGCTTCTTCCATCCCAATCAACACATTTTAGACATCACCTTGTTCCGAACTTCATATGGGATCTCTTGAAAGCTATCAGGTTCTACAACGACTTTAATGCATAATCCAACATCATTAGAGGAAGCTTCAACACGTCATCATGGGAAAATATGCCTTTTAGGCTTCTTGATTATTTATTCTAGAAACAGATCGTTGCTTCATATAATCATTTAATAACTAACCTATGGTATGATTTTCACGACCATCTTTTGTAACAACAACGATCTTGTTTAATGTTTACGGGTAGAGATTGGGGTGGATACAGGGAGCCAACAGTGGCCTACGAGATCAAAGTCGAAGGTTGGTCAAGAGGGAAGGAGGGGTTATATGTAATTTATCTTTTATGAAAAATGTTAAAAATGTAAAAGCATAAAATGTTACTCATTTAACAAACCTTTTTTAGCAAGCATTTAACAGAATGACCAAACCCGTATGAAAAATGCATATCACAATCACCACAAACATAAATTAATGCAAAATACGGACAAAAAGCAAGGAAAATGTCATCCGCATGGACCTAAACTGTAACTCGTTGTAGAAAAATGATGATAAATTCCGTTAGCTAAGTTGTCGGTTAATTTGCCAAACATAATCCAAATAAATATCATCATTTATGTGACGGAAAAACAATTAACAGTAGTTTTAACAAAAGAATTCCAGAACTAAAATAACCCAATCACCACGAAACATTCAATAGAATATCGTTTTACGTTGCATGGACATAATTTACGATGGTTACGTCATCTTTTTTGACTAAACTGTACGTAAATTGAATCTTAAATCATGATTTATTGTCGTACATTAAAATGTACTAAAAAATATTGTATTTTATTGTGAACCCATTTTCAATTATTACATTAATTGAACCCATTCTGTATTTTATGTTCTACACATACGAAGTTACCTAAAAGCCCTTGGCCAAATCTTGTGGAATCGATTATATTGATTCGAAAAAGAGAGGAGAAAATGGAAAGGATGAAGGGCAATAATGTCCAGTGAAATAATATAAGTTGCTGTAATAACACACAGGGTCCATATTCGTTAGTAGATGCGCGAAGGCAATATTTTCAACACTCGAGTCTCCCTTACAGGTATTAGGGTTTATTTCAGTTAAAGGGGAAAACGACGACGAAGATAAAGACGTAAAAGAACCTAAATCTTTTGCTATTTCGGTAGTTACTCACTCGATTTTGCCTAATTGTGGGAGGAATTTGATGCGAATTGGTCCAATTTGAGCTCTACGGATCTCTTCTGTATCAAGCAAGGTAAGTTCTTCACATTACAAGATTCTACAATAAATTGAAGAAAAACAGTTGCTATGTAACCGATTAATTTGATTTATTAAATGTTAAATTGGTTGTAGAAAAGATCAAGTTCAGTCTTGTGCTAACTAAGAAAAGGAAGTTGGATGATTAGTAATTTAGTGCAGCTAAGTGGGAAATTTAGGGTTGAATTCGGTGAAGTGCTGTGAGATATTTTTTAAAATTGAGTATCGGCGCTGGATGTCATTAGGAAATTGGATAATTTTTAGGGTGTAATTAGGGTTATTGATTGGAGTATTATATAGGTTTTTAAGAAACTGCTTCTTTTGTGGGTTGAATGCATTCAAGAATAAAGGTTTGATTTATAGTGTTCGTTATATGGCCTATATTGAGAGTAAGATTATAATATTGGTAATCTTGGGATTCTCTTTTTCTGGGACGTTATCTTCTTCTTGAAGATCAAAACCTTGGCATGTTTATTCAACGCTTTTAACGTGTATATATTCTATTTCTACAAACCAAAGGCGACTTAGGGTTTCACCATATCAAGTATTGTTCTGGCAATTTTGGACACTCTCCATCACTTACAGTGAGGTCTAGGTTACAGTCTTCATCCTCTATGATCCCACCTACATGAGTTGACTGCCTTTGTTTTTCTGATTTCAAGATTGTTGATCTTTTCTTTGTGTGTCTATTTGGTCCATCACTCCTAGCAATTCTTAGCATCTTGTCTTCTGGTGTATGGCCTCAATATGTAGGAGACTTTTGATTGTTTCTTGGAACTTATTCGCATGCCCACAGAGTTTCTTTGGTGATGCTTTTCAGAACAGCGTTTATCTTTACACGACCTTGGTGGAACTGGCACTTGAAATTATTCACATTTTTGCTAATAAATAACCCACCTGTCTCTTGCGAAGAGGTGGAGAACATGCTCAATATCATTTGATTGAATAGTTGATCAATGATGTGTTAGTTCTCTCTTAGACAAGTGGATCTAAAAGCATAAAGTTGATCCATTTCGATTATTTAGTTTATTGTAAATATGCTTGCTTAATCTATTATTGGATGGACAGACGAAGTTTTCAAATGTCCTTGTGTAAGGAATTGTATACGCCGATAATATGTTCAAAATTTTCTTCGATATATATTGTGACCATAATGTTTCAGCTTCAAGGGCCAACTTATGAGTATGTATCTCTCTCAGCTTAAAATTTTAGAGGTGGGTGCTCTATTGTTACTTGGTCTTTGTCCATCCAAATAACCAACCAGTGACATTGTGATATTTGCAACTAATAGTTACAGGTCTAAGCCAATTATGTGGAATATTTTGCTGATAATAGTTATTCATGAAAGAGGATTTCTTCATAATAACCAGTTTGAATTTTTTCTTCTGTGATTTATTCTTGTTTGTGGGTGGTGGTTTTAAATTTTGGTTTGTACAAGCTTTAGATAGGCAGAATGGCCTCCGAGACTGACCTGTCCTTCATTGTCTATTGCTAAAACTTTCATTGCTTCAACAATCTCTCGCATGCTTGTTGGTACTAAAGTATTAGTTACTTGGTATGTTTTTGCTAGAGGAATGCAAATCATATACCAAAAAATTTGTAGGTTTTATGTTTAAGTCCTTAGCATTCGGGCCACACATATATAAGCCAATGCATTCAAAGTGGTGGGTCCTGTCTCTCACGCTTCACACTCTGAGCATGACAAAATTGTATAAGGTTTCGGCAAGTTATGCTAAGGGAATTGCATAATATATTTTTTACAGCAGCATCAGTTTGTTGTGGCCTGCACCATGCCTTTGTACTGCAATTTAATTAGTTATCAATCCTATTATTTTCAGTTATTTTAGTTGTAGGTCAAAACGTTATTCCTTATTTTGCTGTGATGGTCAAAATAATGATTGTCTGTTTCTTCATTATGTTTAAGTGAAGATGTAGAATATTATTTCAGAGTCTTTGATTGAAGAAAATTAATTATCCTTTATAGGTGATGATGGTATATCCTCATACAAGATATTGATTGATGGATCCTGAAAGCAAGAAGTTTGGAAAAGGTGAGTTTGGAAGCTCAAGTGTTCCTTTTTTCCTTATGGCTTAGTGTCTTTATGGTTTATGCTTGTCCTTGCATATTGATATCTGAGGGCATATCTTCTCATCTGGCACCATTTGCTTATTTCTGACCTATGTTTTTATGATGTTATCATTTGATGTCGTCTTCAGTGATTATTGCAGCCTTTTATTGTAAGTTCGACCATAGCACTTTCATCCTAAGCAGTTAATGCGGTCATTTTATGAAATTGCAGTCCGGACCGTGATTTAATATAGCGGTTAACGTGTTGTTAAATCGGTGGTATAGCAGTAAATAAAATTAAGCTCATATAATGAATACAAATATTTATGTATATAAAGATATAGAGAGTTAATATATTGTATTTGTATGTAAATATGTCTAATACATACAAAGTGAAGTAAAACAAATCAAGTCCCACACAAGAAACATAGTAATGAAGTTTGTAAAGGTTATGATTGAGCTAATTGCACTAGTGGTAAATAGCAGTAAGTAGCGGTAAACAACATCGCTAATCGCTGGACCTCTATTTCCTAGACCACCGCTAAACCACCGGTATAGCACCGCAATTGACTGCCCAGCTTTCATCTGCAACACCATTGTGTGAATCTCATAATATGCAGCTTAACAGGAGAACATCTTATGTCTCATATTCACTGTTGAACTTCAGGCATTCTTAAGCCGAAAGTTCAGTCTGATTCCATGGAAAAAATCACAAATATTCAAATTATCCTGCATTGAGAAAAAATGCTGAAGTTACAAAGTTGATTTTGATGTAGAGAAACAGTTCTACTTTGTGGAAAAAGATGTTTGCATTAGAATCTATTATCTCTTACACAGCTTGAACATCAAAAATGCTATTCAATTTTTTTTTGGTATTTAGTTCTTTGTCACTGATGTTGCCGTCAAGATACAAATGACTAAACCACAAGGATTGTGGCGTAGTGGTTGAGACCCAGGGGATGTGGTGGAAAATCCCATTTACCCCAGGTTCGATTCTAGGCGTCCACAACAATTGTGGCCACTGAGTTAGTAAGGGTTGATGTCTTACAGTCGCAATTTATCGGGATTAGTCTGGGCATAGCCTAGGATACCTTCCAAAAAAAGATACAAATCACTAGCCACATCAAGTCCCTTTTATGCATCCTAAATATTTGAAGCGTTTCTCTTTCATTAGTTGCCATGTTTCTTGGATTATCCCTTCTCTCATTCTGTCTTAAGCAAAGTAACTATCTTCTTTTTTCCTTTTCTAATATAGGGCCAAGGGAACTTACGGGTGCTGTGGATCTTATAAGTTACTATAAGTTGTTGCCTCACCATGAGTTCTTCTGCAAGAAATCACTTCCTTTGTCGATTTCGGATACACATTACCTGCATAATGTTCCTGGAGACTCAGAAATTAGGAAAGGCGAAGGGATGCAGTTGGATCAGCTCATTCAGAATACATCCTTCCCAAGAGAGACAAATTCACGCATACAACCATTTGACCTGGACATCCTGAGGGAAGCATTTCAGTTGAGGGAGACTGCTCCTGTTGACCTTCCATCTGTAAGTTGATTGTGTTGTTGTGTCAGTTTCTTTTTTATCAGATTAATGCAGCTGCTTAAGCACAATGATTTTCGTTTCTAAAAAGATTGGATAGTGATTGGGGGGCGTATGAGAAACAATGCAATATTGATACCTGAAACAGTATTCCGAAACAGCTATGGATAAGATACATCACAAAATACTTTCTTATCCTACTTATTTCACACATGTACATGTACTCACACATATATATTTATATTAACTTATAGTTTTTGTTATAATTAGTAATATACGGTGGACATGCGTACAGAACATACCCGAGTGTTCGATGTTGTATCTGCAATAACTTAATTGTCTATGCTCCCTTGTACTGTTCTTTTTTCTAGTGCTTTCTACTGTTGTAATATCCTGACTTATATGTGTTGTAATCTTTTATAGTCAGAGAAGGGAATTCCCACCATAGCCGGAAAATCTAAAAGCGAAGCGAAAGACAAGGAAAGGAAGCACAAAAAGCACAAGGACAAAGACAGGGATAAAGATAAAGAGCATAAGAAACACAAACATCGTCATAAAGATCGAAGTAAAGAAAAGGATAAGGAGAAAAAGAAGGATAAAAGCAGTCATCATGATTCTGGTGCTGAACCCTCAAAGAAACACCATGAGAAGGTTAGCTACCAATCTTGTAATGCTTCGCTTTTAGATGTTTCAGAACCATAGTCTGGAGAATAAGATGTTCCTAATAATTTGTTAGTCTGGGTTATACTTGTAATTTGAAATGTTTAAAAGTATGCATGTAGGTTGCATCTTGATTATTTAGTTTCTGTGAAGTATCTTGTTGAGCTAATTGATGGAGATGCTGATGTTAAAGGGGTTAATACATCATTTAGTGCCTGTCTGTAGTATTTTCACACGCCCATTTGAAAAGGATGACTAACATAATTAATGGTGTTATTGGTTTCAGAAGCGGAAGCATGATGGAGATGAAGATCTCAATGATATTCACAGGCACAAGAAAAGTAAGGTAACTCGGATGCATCAAATGCTTTGAGTAAATCACAGTTGTGTGGTTATGTATTTATGTTTTAGTGATTCTCTTAGCTCCCCGTATTTCCCTGGAGTGATCTTGTTAATTTTGCAGCATAAAAGCTCAAAGATCGATGAAATGGGTGCAATAAAGGTAGCAGCTTGAAAGTGGCATGTGATCTATATTATTGTTTGTCCTCGATGTTGCAAATGAAAATTCGAGAGGTCCTTACTTAGTGTAGTCAAATTAATTGAGGTACCCAAAATTTTGTCCTTTCATCTCATTCCTCTTTAATATGCTTTCTACATGCATGTTTTATAGAGTAGTATTCCACCCTCATTCAGCAGGCTTCATCGTATCACTATATCGACAGGCTAATGCTAAACATCTGACTAAGGATAACATATGATCTGATCAGATCAGAAGTGTCTTCAAGGTGTCTGTTATTTTCCTAGGTGCTATTGGAATATTACCTGTTTTTTAATAGGATGTCAAGTTTTGCGTTAGAAACAAGGAGACGGTAACACTTCTTTCAGAAACACTAAAAGGGGCAACTTAGTTTGGAAGGGCTAGAAAATTCTAGAAAATTCCTTCACTAACATGGGGACTGTAATTATTTCATGTATTATATGATTGTGCCTAAAATCCTTCTTTTTTTTATTACAGAAATGTATAAAATTGTAACAAGTACTATTATGTGGAACTCTACTTGTTCGTGGGGTTTATTAATCTTTTCACTAAACAAAAATGGATCTGCATGTTGTAAGTGATTCTGTGGTTGGGTTCCTGAATTTCCTGTAAGATGAAGCACATCTTTTAAAATATACAAAAATTGAACATTGTAATTGTTCTTTCGCCCAGATCTTTTATCTTGATCTGCATGCTCATTTGCTTTTATTTTTCTTGGCTTTTTATTCTTTTATGTAAATGTATTTTGCTAAAAGTAAAACTGAACAACACCTTTTGGATTAGTTGGTACTAATTAGTTGATTAATTTCAGTACATGATATATCGTATCAACCAATTCTAAAGGTAGTATTTTTTATAAATTCATATCTGCTTTGGAAATTAAAACCCTCTATTGCGTTGGGTGCTGTATTATAAATTATATGTTCCATCACAAAAGTTCAGGCACTTGCTTTAGAGACTTGTATTAACGACTGTGTGGCACTGATTTTGTCAGTGAAGTATACATTTTTATTAAAAAGTTGAGGCGTTGTGTTTTAGAAACTGGTACAATACATGTATAATAAATGCATTTGTAGTTTGTGCACTTGTACTGTACAAATGATCGATTTGCTTATTATTGAATATTCAAAGGTTCTAATGTTAGATCGACAAGGTCCATTAAATGGGTCTGTTTGTTAACAGGCTTAGGCCAATATATATAGTGGGTTTTATAAAAATCTTCCCATGCGTTCAAACCTCCATGGGTGAGTCTGTTCTAAGACCATGCATAAAGCTAGTATTAATCTTTCTAAAGTCTGCCGTTGGTATGGTTGCATGTAGATGTTGGATATCTTTTGCAGAATATGTACAATAATTTAGATTCTTGTGAATAGCTTCCCTCTTGGCCTGTAGGATGTTTGGTGCAATCTGAACTTTGAAGTGATCAAACTATCCAGCTACTAAAATAGGCTTGTATTTACATCAGTTAGTTAACGTAGCATATGCCTTTTTCGGGGAAGTCAATTGACCAGCTGTATCTTGTCTATCAGGCCTGGACATTGACAGTTGGTTTGATCACCTGTGTGGGACTAGGTTTTTGAATACAATTTTTTGTATAAGATGCACAAAAATAGAAATAATGTCGCCTGTCTTGCATCTCTTATGACACATAATATTATCAATCATACGATGACATTTAATTTTGTGTTTCGTGCAGAAGTTTCCCGGGACTAACTAAAGATTTATGCAGAAAGGTGAATTCACCTAGATTTAATTGATGGAAAGCGAACTGCTACCGCTACTAGTTGTTTGTATGATGGATGGGGGGGTTTGAGTGATTCAAAACTTTGTTTCGGCATTATTGGATATATCAGCAATTAGTTATCCTAATCCTTTTCTGGTTCTGGTTCTGGTTAAAAGTTAAAACAACATAAACCAAATGGTTGGAATGTATCAATATCAATTTTGTCACTTTTTATGTATTATTATTCTTTTTTTTTTATGGTTTAAATTTTGTAAATACTAGTCAAATGACAATATAGCAGTCACTCAGTCAATCAATGGAATGGAAGGATATTGTTTAGTTTTGAAATCAAGTTTGTCATCTTTACACATGATTTCATATTCATCTAGGGTTTTCATTCTCTGTTTGGGAAAGAACCCTAAACCCTGGTTTGGAGGACATGATTCAGTGATTTGGTTTTCAATCAGGATTCTAATTTTGTAATCTCCCATGAAAACACTTAAATTAAATGGGCGTAAAATAAGAAGACTGACTGTCCGAGCTATCTTCTGTGCACTTGGGTTAATCTTATAGATCCTGAAGTTAAAAGTCAGACAGATCTCCGACACCCCTGAAATCATAACGATTAAACAAATCCAATATTTTAGCAATTGAGGGTTTGGTTGGATTGAATTTGTGTGTGAGACCTCACCATCAACCATTCAAAGTGAGATTGACCAAAGATGCAACCACATTCACCCAATTTGGATAAAAATGTTGATGTCTAAAACTTGAAGTCATCAAGTATTTTTGAAATAATTGATTACTTGGATAGTTGGATGTAATAAACCTTGATATCTAAATATAGAAATAATGCTTTGCTTTTCTTTAATCACAATTCATCTTATATATCTAACCAGTTACTTTTTATTAATTGTAAATTATAAACTTTTTTTATTATTAATCTGGATATCCAACTCGCTATGCGAGCCGACTAATCCCAGGACAACCACCTGCTTTGCAGATAGCCCGGAGTCACCGCATTTGAACCTCCGTGGCCATAAAGGGGATTTTTATTCCTTCTTGGATTTGAACCTGGGACCTCGAGGTACTTTTAACCTTTGGAGTCAAGCTTAGACCAATCAGGTACTTGATTTTTATTGTTTATAAAATTAAAAAAACAAATGCAAATGAACTTTTTCTGCTTGAATGAGGTTGACATCTGATAGCATCTTTAACAAGTATGTTATATTTTTTTCTCTCTTATTTTTCTCTATTTTAAAGGAGAGTTTAGTATAACTGTTGGAGCAAACTTTTTCTTCATCTTCAAAATTTATAAAATAACGTAGTTGTTGGAGATGTTTTCACTTTTCTAGATGTCAATAATTTAACTATCATCAAAGATAAAGAAGTTTGGGTGAGTTTAATTTACCATATTTATATATTTAATAATTAAAAAAACATTCACCTCTTAGCGATTCAAAATATGATATTGATTTTAACATTATCATTTAGAGGATCTTACAACCATTAAAAAACAGATATTTTTTTTCCAAATAACATTCACCTCTTAGCGATTCAAATGTTACATCTTAATATAACTATTAAGAGGTAAACAAATAGCCCATTTATTCAAAAAATGAAGCTAATTGATTTTCATCATCCAAAAATACAAATAAAATATGATATTGATTTTAACATTATCAAAATCGTTTTTTATTTACAAAAATAAATGAAAAAAAAAAAAAAACTGTTTCACCTAAAAAAATTGAGAAAACATCTCAAAATTCTAAAAATATTTAATTATTCTTTAACAACCTCATCAGGAATTTTCGTCGTAACTGAACGTTCTCAAATTAAGTTGTCAAAAACATCACAACATTAATTTTGAAATAATTATTTTATAACCCAAATTAAAAATATACAGATAAAAATCATCTATTCAAAATTTTAATATTGTATTCATGTCCACTAATCATATAAATACATGTAAGTAGAGAGAAAAAATAAACATGAATTAAATAAATTTAAAATAAATAAAAATATGATATGTATTAATTTGATTGATGGAATAAAAATGATATGTGTGAATTTGGTAGTGTGTCCCAAAAATTATGAAATGCACACCATCTTGAAAAGATGCAACTTTTCCTTGTCAGGCTTATCTTCCAAAAATTATAACACTTCTTTTTTGGGAAAATAAGTTATTTCACATTTACTTTTTTATTTATTTATCATTTTTTTTAATTTGTGGAGCATTCTACTTTGTTAATAAATCAATTGGTGTTTGAAACTTAATATTTATCCGTTAAGTGTTTGTTGGGTAATTTTTTTTACCGGATGAACATGACAATTGTCAAAAATCTTATCTAATAAGAGCAATGATAAAGATGAAGAGTAAGACTCGGTAAGTGATGGTAATGGCTCTTACCCGGGTAAGGCTCTTACCCGGGTAAGCGCTTACTGAGTAAATTGTTGCATACAATACCATTTTGATGTACTACAATTTTATCCGGTAAAATAAATTACGTTGTTGACTCCTAATGGTAAACGCTTACCGGGTAAGCATTTAGGTAAAACGGCCTCTAAGTAGTAATCAATGGATATGATAAAAAAAATAAACTGTTGGGTTTTATGTAATAATATAATGAGTTCGTTCCTCTAAAAATCCAAATTTTCATTTCAGGTTATACCAGGAGGAACGAGGGAATAAGAAATCATTCTTATTTTCATTACTGTCAGTTTCTTAATATTTTGTGAAATATGTTTATAAAAAATATATGAATAAGATTTTGGTTATAAAACATAGAAATAGATGTTATGTTTTTAAATTAATGTTTTAACGTAATAAGTCACATATAAGTACATAACATGTCAACGAATCATTATTTACAATCAGATTTGGTTGACGAGATTTGACCAAAATTTAGAAAAGAAGAAAATGACGATTACTGTATTGTTTTTACTTTGTATCTTTACGTTTAATAAATATTATGTGTTTAAATTAAGGTTTTAATATTTATTAAATGTTTTATGTTTATGATAATTTTTAGTTTTTTATTTATTGAATCAAAAACATTTTATTAATTTATAATTTATTTTACTTTATTATAATTATTTAATTAATTATTATTTATAGTTTTGTTGTAATTTGATTAAAATATAGTGTTTTATGATGAGGTGTCCTTGTACAAAATTATTAAAAATCTTTACAATGAAAGATAATTTTTAAAGCTGACATGACACTTGAAAACCTGTTAAATAGATTCTTATTGATCCAAAACCTGTTATAATTATTTGGACTTTCTAAAACTTGTTAAATAAATACTCATTGTTTAAAATGTAAATTGTAACTTGAATATGAGGTAAACCTACAAATAAAAAAACCCTAACACTATCCAAAACACATCGTCTCCTCTATCTCGTCTCCCTCACTTAACGTCGTCCTACACTAGTCTCCGTCCCATCACCGGTCGCTGCTTCCCTACACCAAAAGGTAGACCCAGACTCAACATTCCAAAACCGACTACAACAAAAAGAGCCAATAGAGGTGGAAGAGGCAATAGAGGTGGGAGGATACCATCATATGTAGGGGTCTCTTATAATCCAATGACGGGAGAAGCAATGATTGGGGTAAGTAATTATTTATTTTTCAGATTCAAATAACATTTTTAATGACTATTGCTTATACTTTATCTTCATCATTAAAAGATATCTTCAAGGGTGTCATAACCAGCATGGCTTGAAGGCATCCTACCGTGTTCAATTTTAAGAGAGGCTGTTGTTAATGATGAAGACTTTGGATGAAGGTGATACTACTGTTGGTGATAAAGAACATCATGAAAGTGATGATATTGTTGGACATCAAGAAGGGTTACAAGAAAGTTAAATGGTTATAGCTTCACCAGAAATTAATGATGCAAATAAAGAATAGTTCTTACCATGACCTTAACATAAATCAATATAAAGAAAAAAGCGATTGCATCCTTCTTCTTATCATAACATAGTATGGTACGAGCTCACGAGTCGTCAGTGATGGTCAGTCACTCGGAGGATTTTATCGACCGGCCTGAACTAACCGGAACGCAATGATGAAAAGCTCAATAATTATCCCTCTAGCATATGAACTAGAGACAGACGTAAGTTATAATTTTGCAAGAATGAAATACAGTTACATTAGTATATTTTAGCGCAATTTTTGATATATTTTGGCGCAATTTTTTGATATATTTGGCGTAATTGTTGGTATTTTTTGGCGCAACTTTTGTTATATGTTTTGGTTCAACTTTTGGTATGTATTTGGTTCAATTTTTGGTAAAATTATACCCAAACTTTGTATTCAAATTATTATGCTTTATATACAACTTTTATATGTTTTGGGAAGAGTAATGAAAATGATATATTTGTTTAATTTTATAGATTTAAGTACTTTTTTCGTTCAAAAAATGTTTAAGGACTTAATCATTCAAAATATGAAAGTCCATTGGTTTTTTTCCATTATTTTACCATATTAACCACTTTTATATAAGTTATAAGGATGTATTTAGCATGTATTAAAAAGTTCAAGAAGTTATTTAACAGATTTTTAAATGTCCAAGGATTTGTTTATTTTAAAAAATTGTAAGAACTTAATCGTTTCAAACACTAAAATCCATTAGATACTTTAGACTTCTTTCTTACACAAAATATATTATTAGGAGTTTTTTTTAGGAATTATTGTATGCATTTAATGGTCAAGTTTTTCATTTGTTTATTTATTTTCTTAATAATGGACTGGCAAAAGCAGAAAATGAGTGTGGCAGAAGCGAAAAGAGCAAGAAAAGCCGTCTTGTTGGGCAGTCTTCCTTATTTCAACCCTCACTTTCCTCTTTCGCTAAACGATTGGCTGTGTTGTGTACCCGCGAAACCCTCCATCTCCAACACCCAAAATGGCTTGATTCAACGTTACGATTCGCCGCCCTCGATC